CTATGCTCCTCAGCACCATCTAGTGTCCGTAGTGACGGGCGGAACACTTATAATTCACCCTTTAAAGGAGAACTATGGGGTTAGGGCTTTTCCCCATAGTTCTCCTAAGGGTAACGGGAGGACACAAACTAGCGTCCTCCCGTCACCCAAAGCTCAGTATACCGCGAGCTACAGACGCCGCAGCCGGGACGGATCCCGACATTACTGTCTGGATCCACCCAGCTGCGTGAGTGACAGCTGCCTCTGCCTTTCTAGAGGAAGAGCCAGCTGTACCCGCCCCCTCCCATATCCGTTCCGCCACTCAGCGCTGGAGGATCTGACGGGAGGGGGGAATCCCTGCAGGGAGCCGTGAGTGACAGTCACGGCTCTCTGCAGGGACAGGATCGAGAAGTGAGCGAGCGACGGTATGTGTTCGCTCACTTCCCGATCTATTGAGCCAACTTGTGACAGCTTCATTGTCACGCGTCGGCTAGAACTGTGAGGCTGAGTGATTTTTGCTCGCCTCATAGTTATATTTAATTATTCTGTACTCCAATATAAGCACTAGGAGGTCTTATTGAACTCATTGAGATAACACAGGAAGTGTGTACGGGACACAGGACAGCTCTAAACTTCTGATAAGGTCAACACATACATTATAAAATTAATTTTACAGTTTTTACAGCGAGTTGATAAATTGTGATCATATTGGCAATAGACATCTCAATGCTTTGTATGGCTTATTGGGTAGAACTTCTGTCTTGCAACACTGTGGTCCTCGAATTGAATTCCATCCAGGGCTCTATCTGCATGGAGTTTGCATGTTTTCCTTTTGCTTTCCTGGGTTTCTTCCTGTTACTCCGGTTTCCTCCTACACTCCACAGACATGGTGGCTGGTTAATTGGCTTCTGTCTAAATTGGCTCTAGTGTGAATGTGAGATAGGAGCCTTAGGTTGTAAGTTCTGTAGTTTTCGCACACACTTCCTGAAATTTCAAAACTGCATAACAGAGGTCAGCGCATCTTATTGGAATTTTCTGATGGTTTTTTTTCACTCCAAGGTAGCATGTCCATTAAGGGCACCTGATATAATACAATCAGTCATTTGAGAGGCTCGGGGTCATGGCCATTTCTCAGCAGCTGTGCTATAAATCAGGCAGCCACCTAAAACTGTACGGGAGGGGGTACACGGGGATTTTATTTGCCCAGAGGATTAGAAGATAATATATTGTTGGGTCTCCATGTAAAGGAGAAGATTTATTGGTGTGTGCAGATATGGCTCCATGTTAGCTTCTGGCATGGAATCTGGCCTACAGTTCTTGCATGGCTTTACAAAACATTTGTCACTTTCAGGTTAGCACAGCAGAGAGAGACATCCAGGGGGGAAGCAGTGTTTGCAGGGAAGTGTGAACGCTGTTGTGTCGTGTTGTGATGGGTCCCAGAGCTACAGTAATGCAGACAAATTCAAGCGTGTTTTTTGTTTACTGTATGACCCTTCTCCATGAACACTTTACCTATATGTGACCAGTGAGGCTCCTCTTGTTATGTTTGGCCAGAAAGGCTGGGTGTTGTACTACCCCATGGACATATCGATGCTTATTTATCATGTATCTGAAAGTTTTTTTTACCAAAACAGTTTTTTTTATATAGGTAGAATAGTGGGGGCTAAACCCCTACCAGTTAATTTTTTGCCATCAGGGAAATTTCTTGTTCCAGTAGCACAAGAGGACATTAAAGGAAATGAGAAGTGAGAGGAATTCCCCTCTAAGATTGGAAGACTGGATGATTTTCTCTTGCCTTTTGCTCTTGGGAAAACTCCAAAATTTTGAATTTCAACCAGACCCTTGAGTTGGAGTCTGTGCCTCTGTATGGTATACATCTGAGATTCGGGTTGACTGTGCTTAGAAGTACGGCAAGTTTTGTCTATAAAGATCCTTATTTATCCTGGTCATGGCATATCCAGTAGTAGTTGGTCACAGTCAACTGGACTTCTGTAATTTTACCTTGCCTTTTGCTCTTGGGAGAACAGTAAACATTTTTTTTT